GGGGGGGGCAGGCCTTTCCACCTCTCCATGTGATGTTGGACTCCAGTTTTGCTGGAGAAAGAATGCACCAGGTTTGCTGTGTCTCAGCCTTATTTTTCCTCCTTTGCTCAGTATGTGGAAACGGTGACTTGTCGGCAAAGCGACATCCAGAGGTTCATTGCCGAAGGCTGCCGGGAGGCTCTCCTGGAAGAGAAGAAGAGGTTCTGCTTCCTCGTTGACAAGCACTGCAGTTTCGCTCAGCATATGCACTACTATCATGTGGAGGTGAGTGCGAGTGTGGGAAGAGTGTGAGTGTGAGAAGGGAGTTGCAGTTGCCCAATGAAAGGTGTTTCTCAGCATCACGGGTCTGTGATTTTCCTGTGCGCACTCTCTGATGGACTCACTCACATGCGGCAATATCACCCCAATCGCTCACCAAGGCCTGCCAGGACTCCATCTCGAGTTTTTGTTTGCTTTGCGTTGTTAGAGTCGTGCCTCCCTGATCACTTTTAGGTTCCAAAAAAGCCTTTATTGCCCAGCAGCCTCCCTCTCGTTAGGTAGATAATGCAGTGTTAGAAAGAAATGCGTACTCAGCAACCCGATTGTGCATTTCTGGCTGGAAAATACCGTTCTAATGGGCATGTGGTCACACACCTACTGAAGAGTTAAGCAAATGGTGTGGTGGAACTAAAAGGGCAGGCTATTACTATTATTGTTGTTGTTATTTATGCCCCGCTTTACCTCCCCAAAGGGGACTGAGGCTAACTAAGCTGAGTCATGACCATGTGACGCGTATGATGAGTAATGCATCATTCTCTGTTGTCCCTGGTTGATGACATTCCTGTTGCACATATACATGTAGGCAGCAAGCATGTGTGCTCTCTCTTGACATGATTCTCTTGCCATAATTCCTTGATTAGCATTTGATCGCCTGGCAGTGCCTGGAGCAATCTTTTGTTGAGAGGTGATTAGATGTCCTTGTTTGTTTCCTCTCTGTTGTTTTGCTGTTGTAATGTTTGAGTTTTTTTAATCCTGGTAGCCAGATTTGGTTCATTTTCATGGTTTCCTCCTTTCTGTTGAAATTGTCCACATGCTCTTCTGGGTTTCAATGGCTAATCACCTCTCAACAAAAGATTGCTCCAGGCACTGTCAGGCCATTATATTTATTGCAATAAAAAGATGCTAAACGCCTGTGTGTGTGTTCCTTTGTCCGTTGCCAGTGCTCGGAGCTGCTGAGCGCCAAGTTGCCCGGGTGGCAGGAGACCTGCGGGGACGCCACCAAAGTGCCGGAGAAGGTCATGACGATGATCGAGGAGATCCGCACCCCGGGATCCACGCCCGTCTCCGGGACGCCCGTCCCCTCGCCCATGATCGAGAGGAACAGCCTGATGCTGGTGAGGGGGGGGTAGGGGTAGGGGGGGTCCCCTTGGGCACTCACAGCGCTCACTCACGCTCTCTCTCTCCCAAGTGCGTGCCTGGCGAGGGTTGGGACGGGGAGCGTGCTGCCGGGAGGAGAGAAAGGGTGGCCCCGAGGAAGGACTTCATTAAGGCGTCATCATTGTCTCAGCCTCGGGTTCTAGGCTGGGTTCCCACAGCACACGTTTGGAAAGCTGTGTCTCCTCCGACCTGTTCTGTCCTGCAAGCCATTTTCAGGAGACGCCTTGATTTGACTACGAACAGAGTTGAAAGACGCAGGAGAACAGGCAATCCATCATAACAACAACAACAAGAACAAGAACTACTACTACTACTTTATTCATATAGGAGCCCCTGGTGGTGCAGCAGGTTAAACCGCTGAGCTGCCGAATTTGTTTATTGAAAGGTTGCAAGTTTGAAATCGGGAAGTGCGGTTGAAATCAATACGGACTTTAGGAGGGTCTCCCCAGTAAGAGAGACCCCTAGGACCGCACCAAAAAGGGTCCATGACCTTGGCGAGCCGTCAGAGAAGCCAGCAATTTTATTAATATTAATAATTGAAATGAGACTCTTGCCAAGGCGAAGAAGTGGCACCGGGGTTTAATGAGCGATTCAGCTGAAGCGGATGCAATTGCAGTGATCATTCACATGCAAGCATACCAGTACATTGATCAGAGGCATATTTATAGCAAATTCAAAGTTGCAGAGTCCAAACTCCCCGCCCCGGCTTCCCTGTTGTTCCCTGCCATGATTGGGCGATGGGCAAACAGTTGGGAGGCGGCCCTCCCGCCCCCGGTGCCTCTGGACCAATCAGGAAGCTCCAGTGGTCCGTAGGAACCAATGGGGAGACCTCTGCCACCTGATGGCGACAGCCAATCAGGAGAGATGGAGGCGGGATGATGGAGCACAAAGGAATCTGGGAAAGGAGTAAACAAAGGAAATGCCATGTGGCCGGTGAGACAAAGGGGAAATCTCAAGCCAGCCTGATCTATCAACATGTGTCCATAGGGGATGGCTAAAACGCAAGGGTGTTGCACAAAGGTCCTGGCAGGAGTTCTTGAGTGGCCCAAATGGACCTGGTGTCTCTGGAAACAAGCTTTGCTCCCCGTCCTTGGAGAACTACAGCTCCTGAGAGAGGCAGAGACCCCAAGGTCTAGCTATTCCCAAAGTTTCATGGGGTCCTCATTGTTGTTAAGGCCTTGGCAAATTGACCAAGACTTAACCCCTATTGTGCAGTCTGGTACCTTTGTCCTTTGCAGAACTATAAGTCACCATCCCTTGTTAGGGGGCGGGCATGCTCGACGTCAAGGTGAGCTCCCATTGTTAGCCCCAGCTTCTGCCAACCTAGCTGTTTGAAAACATGCAAGTTTTTTTTTGTCGTGTCAGGAGCGACTTCAGAAATTGTGGGCCTGGGAAAGTGCCGGCAGCAACTCTAAGGCCGGGGAATTGGGCCAAGCAAAGAGAGCAGAGCCCTCTCCGGCAGACTGGGGGCTGGGCACGTATCAGTGGGGCCAGTCATTCTCCAAGGCTGGCTGAGACATCCCGGTTGCCAGCTCCCTGCGAAAGGAGGGCCATGTGGGGGGCCGTTGCGTTTGGGGCGGAGGCGGGACCGAGAGGGGGCCTCCCCGGCTGATCTCTGACCCTCCGCTCACTGGTTCATCAGCAGAGGGGCAGCGGATAAAGCACTGAGTAGAACCACCCAAGGCCCCCACCCCAACTCCTTCCCAATCCAACAACCAGAAACGATTGGAAGTTTGGTTGAACCATGTCCTTGGCTTCCTTGTCCTCCTTGCGCTCTGAACCTGTCGCCACGTCCCCTTCTCTGCAGAACTGTTCCCCGGCTTGGCCTCTCTCTTCCAGCATTTGGCCCCCTTCCTCCTCCTTTTCTTCCTCCCCCTCCTCCTCTTCCTCCTCCTTCTCATCTTCCTCTTTCTTCCTCCTCCTCCTCCTCTCTTCCTCCTTCCTTCCTCTTTCCCTTCTCCTCCTCCCTCCTCTCCTCCTCCTTCCTCCTCCTCCTTTTCCTCCTCCTCTCCTCCCCTTTTCCTCCTCCTCCTCCTTTTCCTCTCCTCCTCCTTCATCTTCCTCTTCCTCCTTCCTCCTCCTCCTCCTCCTCTTCCTCCTCCTATTCCTCCTTCTCCTCCTCCTCCTCTTCCTCCTCTTCCTCCTCCTACTCCTTTTCATTCTCCTCCATTTCCTCCTCCTCTTCCTCCCCTTTTTCCTCCTCCTCCTCCTTTTCCTCCTCCTCCACTTCCTCCTTGTCTTCCTCCACCTCCTCTTCCTCCTCCTTCTCTTCCTCCTCCATTTCCTCTTCCTTTTCCTCCTCTTCCTCCACCTCCTTTTCCTCCTCCTCCTCTTCTTCCTCCTCCTCCTCCATTTCCTCCTCCTCCTGCTGCTGCTGCTCCTCCTCTTCCACCTCCTTTTCCTCCTTCTTCTCTTCCTCTTCCTCCTCCTTTTCTTCCTCCTTTTCCTCCTCCTCCTCCTCCTCCTCCTCCATTTACTCTTCCACCTTCTCCTTTTCCTCCTCCTGGACCTTTCCTCGCTTTAGTCAGGTGGGCTCCAGAACATGCGTGTTCCATTCCAAGGACTTTTGCCCTTAATCCCGTTCTCTGGAGGAAGGACTCCCCCTGCCATGCCCACCTTTGAACCCCCAGAGTGTGCACCTGTAGCCAAGACACGGCACTCACCCCTAACGTTCGTTCCCTTTGTGCCTTCAGATCGGGAACCACTACGACTCGGTGCAGAGGACGTCGCCCAAAGTGCCGCCTGCGCCCGCCGGAAGGGCCTTCACCAGCCCCTTGGTCGACATGTTCAACCACCCCCCCACCGCCACGAAGGCCGGCCCCGACAGGATGGACCAGGCCACAGGTGGGTGGGAGCAGATCCCCGCGCCCGCAAAAGCCCAGGTCTCGCGCAACACCCCCTCTCATGCGCAGCTCAGTCGGCCCATCCCTGGAACCAAAACAGAAAGGGCATTTGCAGAGAGTGTGATGCGCACCCACAGAATTGTAATTTGTGCCAAAGAGGTTACGAGTGACAGTCGCTGTTAGGATAGCGTTGCGTCACCAAGTCTTCCATCCACAGAAAGCAATGCCAGAGAATCAGGAAGATAGGAAGGAATAGGAAGTGGTGGAAAATGGGAAGGAGGGAAGATGGAAGGAAAAGCACCAAAGGAGGAGGAGAAGGAAGGAGGGAAAAGGTGGGCGGAGGAGAGAAAGGGGTGAGGAAAGAAGGAAGGAAAAGATGGGAAGGAAGAAGGAGGGAAGAGGTCAAGAGGGAAGGAAGGAAGGAAAGAGGAAGGAAGAAAAGGATGAGACAAGAAAAGAAAAAAGGGCAAGGAGGAAGAAAGAAGGAGATGGATGGTGGAGAGAAAAGGGGTGAAAGGTGAAGGAAAGGAAGGCGAGAGGGAGGGAGGAAGAGATGGGAAGGGAGAAGAAGGAAGAGGGGAGGAAAAGAAGGAAGGGAAAAAAGAAAAGGACAAGAGAGGAAAAAGGGCAAAGAGTAAGAAAGAAGAAGATGGATGGTGGAGACAAAAGGGGTGAAAGGTGAAGGAAGGATAGAGGGAGGGAGGGAGGGAGGGAGGAAGAGATGGGAAGGAAGGAAAAGGAAGAAGGAAGGAAGGGAAGGAAGGGGGGGAAAAGCAAAGAATGAGAGAAGAAAAGAAAAAAAAGGAGGATGAGAAGGAAAGAAGGCAGTAAGGGAAGAAAGAAAGAGAATAATAATTATTAATAATAACAATAAACGTTATTTCTGCCGCGCCACCATCTCCCCGATGGGGACTCGGGGCGGCTGACATGGGGCCAACCCCAGACAACACAATACAGCAATAAAATCAAAACATGAACAACAGACAACAACAACATTATCAAAATAACATTAAAAGAGAAGAAAGAAAATTCTTAAAACAAACATTCCAATAAAAACAAGAAGAGAAGGAGGGATGGGAAGGACAGGAAAGAGAGAGGGAGGAAAGGAAGAGGGAGAGATGGAGGACGAGTGAGGGGACACCACCTCTGCTTCTTCTTCTTCTTCTTCTTCTTCTTCCGTGGGTAAACGGGTAGAGAAGTTCTCGGTTTTGGTTTTGGTTTCCTTATTGGCCAATCAAAATGCAGAAAAAGCGTTGTGCAAGTTTTTGAAGCTTTACTGCTTCACACACACACACACACATATATATACTTGTTTTTTTTGGAAGGGGGGGGGGGGGGAGGGGGGGGGGAAAGGGGGGGGAAAAAATGAGAAAAAAAGGGGGAGAAATGTTAGAGTAAAATAATAAAATAACATGTTAAAGAGGTTGAATAAAAATAATAATAAAGTGATAAATGTAATAAAGAGTAGAGCTCTTAAATAGTTTTTGTTTTACCCCCCCCCCCCCATTTCCGCTCAAAAAAAAAAAAAAAACATAACTGGAGATATAACAAATCAGTCAGGACCTATATATACTAGGGGGCTGGGGGCGTTTCGTTTCTTTTCCTTCTTTTTTGTTTTTATTTTCTTCTTTTATTTTCTTTTTTCTTTTTTTTTTTTTTTTTTTTTTTTTTTTTTTTTTGTTTTTTTTTTTTTTTTATTTGTTTTTTTTTTTATTTTTTTTTTTTTTTTTTTTTTTTGTTTCGTTAATTCGTAATTCGTTAAAAATTCGTTATTTTTTTGTCAACGAAGCGATAACGAACCATTCTTGAGCAACTTAAAAACGAAACGAATTTTTCAATTCGTTTCGTAAATGCTTCGTATTTCGTTATGTATTCGTTTCGTTATTGGTTTGAGGTCGTTTCGTTATTATTTCCGCATGTCTGGGGCAAGTTTTATAGTTGTTTTTTTTTTTATTAGTGTTTTTGGTTTAATTAAGCTAAAATTATAATATCACACCTAATGTTTAGGAGGAATCCGTTAAGGATGGATTCTGCAAGACTTTCAACAAAGTCAAACAAACAGACAAATGAGACACTTCTAGGTTTTGTTATTGTTTGGAAAACAAGATATTTTAAACCTTTGAACAATGTGTAATGGGAGTCCTGGATTTCAATTAAATGGTGAATGGCTGCTACTAGTTTCTACCATGTTGTAGCTCATATTGCGAAATTTTTTTTTTTACGGAAGTACGAAATTTTCGTAAATATTGAACTTATTTTTTTTTTTTTTTAAAAAAAAAAAAAAAAAAAAAAAAAGAAAAAAAAAAAAAAAAAAAAAAAAAAAAAAAAAAAAAAAAAAAAAAAAAAAAAAAAAAAAAAAAAAATCGGAATTCTTTTAAATATCGAAACGCAAAAAAACCCAAAAAACGAATCGATTTCAGAAACAAATTTTTCCGTTGTTACCCAGGCCTAATACACACACACACACACACACACACATACACATATCATTATCATCATCATCATTTACTAACTTATTAATCGCCCTCCATCCGAGAATGCTCCAGGCGATTTACAGCTAAATTACAAAAGATAAAATACATCCATACAGAAATTAAAAATCAACAGAGACCGAATGATGCTCTAGTGAAAAGCCAGGTGCCTTAAGTGCGAGAGTAAAAGGCCCGAAGTCACGCGTGGCTCATCTCAGGTAGGGCGGCCATAAGGAACAATCCCACAATAAGGCAGGAGGGGCAGAAATGAAGAATACACATTCACACACATATGCACATACAGTATATATCTTCATTATTAGTGATTACTTTTCCATCCTGTGATTCACACTGTCTTCTGGTGCAAATCCAGCCGGACCCCACTTCTAAGTCGTTGTGTTGGTCTTCCCGACCGAATATCAGCGCTTGTTGTGTTCCTGCCTTGAGCTTTGAGACATCCTTTCACTAATTAGACATTCCACTAATTTCTCAGAATAGAAAGAACCACGGCTTCCAAAGTCAGGACCGCAGAAGCAAACAGGAAAGGACACTTGCGCACAGAACCCTTTCCCCCCAAATGTTGTCACCTAGCGTTAGGATGTCGTTCCCTTTTGGCTTGTGACCCTCTCATGCCATGTTTTGACCTTGGTGGTGGTGGTTGTTTCCCTCCTTTGGTGACCAGACCGTGGTGAGGACTCCAGCCTGTCGCGCTCGGCCTCGGTGGCCACAGGGCTGAACATGATGAGGAGGCCACGCGTGAGGACCATCTTCCCGCACACGGCCGGGAGCAACAAGACGCTGCTCAGCTTCGCCCAGGGAGACACCATCACGCTCCTGGTCGCCGAGGAACGCGACGGCTGGCTCTACGGGGAGCACGACGGCACCAAAGTGTGCGTTCCCTGGGCCGGCGGGTGGGTGGGCGGGCTGGCGGGTGGGTGGGTGGGCCGGCGGGTGGGCGGGCGGGTGGCTGGGCCGGTGGGTGGGTGGGCGGGTGGCTGGTCCAGCGGGTGGGCAGGCCGGCGGGTGGGTGGGCGGGCCGGCGGGTGGGTGGATATTTGGGCTGGCGGGTGGGTGGCTGGGCCGGCGGGTGGGTGGGTGGGCGGGCCGGCGGGTGGGCGGCAGAAACCCAACTCCCAGGAGGGAGGGTGGCCTGCACAGCCGGGACTTGACTTACAAGCGCCTCGGCTTAAGAGTGTTTTGAGTTACGCACTGTCACTTGGCCCTGGTTTTGCCTTCCAATATGACCATCGTTAATCTGCAGAGATAATCATAAAAACATCTGCAGAAATGTTCATAAAATATTCTTAGAGATAATCATAAAATATTTTACAATATCTGCAAAAATAAGAAAAAATATTCTTAGAAATAATCATAAAAATAACTGCAGAAAAGATCACTAAAATATTCTTAGAAATAATCACAAAAATATTCTTAGAAATTATCATAAAAATATGTGCAGAAATATTGATAGAAATATCTGCAGAAATACTCATGAAAGTATTCTTAGAAACAATAATAAAAAATATGTAGAATTTTTCATGAAAATATATGTACAAAACCTGCAGAAATAATCATAAAAATGATTATAAAAATAAAATATAAAAAATGTTGGAGATAATCATAAAATAATAATAATCATCATCATCATCATCATCATAAAAATCATAATAATCTGCAGAAATTTTCATAAAATATTCTTAGAGATAATCATAAAACATTTTTAAATATCTGCAAAAATAAGAAAAATATTCTTAGAAATAATCATAAAAATATGTGCAGAAATATTTATTACAATACCTGCAAAAATATTCATAGAAATATCTGCAGAAATCTTCATAAAATATTCTTAGAGATAATCATAAAAAATCTGCAAAAATAATCATTAAAATATTCTTAGAGATAATCATAAGATATTTTTACAATATCTGCAAAAGTAAGAAAAAATATTCTTACAGATAATCATAAAAATATGTGCAGAAATATTTATTACAATACCCGCAGAAATATCCATAGAAATATCTGCAGAAATACTCATGAAAATATTCTTAGAAATAATAATAAAAAATCTGTAGAATTTTTCATGAAAATATATGTACAAAACCTGCAGAAATAATCATAAAAATGATTATAAAAATATTTAAAATGTTGGAGATAAATATAAAAATATCTGCAGAAATCTTCATAAAATATTCTTAGAGATAATCATAAAATATTTTTACAATATCTGCAAAAATAAGAAAAATATTCTTACAGATAATTCTTACAGATAATTTTCATGAAAAATTCTAGAATTTTTCATGGAAATATATGTACAAAACCTTCAGAAATAATCATAAAAAATGATTATAAAAATAAAATATAAAAAATGTTGGAGATAATCACAAAAATATCTGCAGAAATCTTCATAAAATATTCTTAGAGATAATCATAAAATATTTTTAAAATATCTGCAAAAATAAGAATAAATATTCTTAGAAATAATCATAAAAATATGTACAGAAATATTTATTAAAATATCTGCAAAAATATTCATAGAAATATCTGCAGAAATACTCATGAAAATATTCTTAGAAATAATCATGGAAAATCTGTAGAATTTTTCATGAAAATATATGTACAAAACCTGCAGAAATAATCATAAAAAATGATTATAAAAATAAAATATAAAAAATGTTGGAGATAATCATAAAAATATCTGCAGAAATCTTCATAAAATATTCTTAGAGATAATCATAAAAAATCTGCAAAAATAATCATTAAAATATTTTTAGAGATAATCATAAGATATTTTTACAATATCTGCAAAAATAAGAAAAAATATTCTTAGAAATAATCATAAAAATATGTGCAGAAATGTTTATTACAATACCCGCAGAAATATCCATAGAAATATCTGCAGAAATACTCATGAAAATATTCTTAGAAATAGTAATAAAAAATCTGTAGATTTTTTCATGAAAATATATGTACAAAACCTGCAGAAATAATCATAAAAAATTATTATAAAAATAAAATATAAAAAATATTCAGGGGTGGTTTTGAGTTAAGAGCTCAGTTTTGAGTTAAGAGCTCAGTTGGGGAACGCATTAAACTCTTAAGCCAAGGTGCCAGCGTACTTCCACGGGCCTTCCCTCGATCCCAAGTGACTTGGCCTTTTGTATAGTTGTGCGCTTCCACCTCCGCACGGCTTTTCCACGGCCATTGCTTTCCGTCCGGAATTGTTCTGCTTTTGGTCCGAAGGAAGGAAGGACGCGGCTGCGTTCCCGCTCTCGCTGAACTTCTCCGTAATAGTCCTATATGAATAAAATGCTGGTTTGTTGCAACTGGCGGTCCTTTCTTGTTCCGTTCTAGGAAAGGATGGTTCCCCTCGTCGTACACAAAGCCGCTGGAAGATCCCGTGGAGGCCGTTCCCGTGCCCGCACCAAGGTAACTTGATCTTAACCCGGATTTCTGTCTCATGTTTTCAAGGCAACCCGCTTTGTAAAAGGAAGAGCACTCCGGTTTTCGGCATTCAGCACGGCCTTGGCGTCTCCGCCTCGTTCGTTCTGAACCCATATTCATAATATACGAGGCAATATGAATAATATGATATAATAAATATATAAATAATATAATAATACAATATAATAAAAGAATAACACAATACTAATAATTCATAATATAATTAACATAATAATATATTATAATAAAATAATATAATACTACTAGTAATATAATATATAATATAATATAATATATATTATAATATATAATATAATATATAATATATTATAATATATATTAGGGCTGGGTAACCACGGAAAATTTTGTTTCTAAACTCGATTCGTTTTTTGGGGGTTTTTGCGTTTCGTTTTTTAAAAGAATTCCGAAATTTTTCTTTAAAAAAGTTCGAAATATTACGAAACAATAACGAATCGATTTGTTAATGGCAGACGCGATTGCGCAATATGCAAAAAAACCCCTCCCAATGGGACAGGGGGGACTTCTGAAGCTTCCCTCTCCCTCTGTTTGGACTGTTGGTGTGATAATTTATTTTTTATCACTGATAAAACACACAACAACTATAAAACTTGCACCAGACATACGGAAACAATTATGAAACAATTTTGAAACGATTTCGAAATGATTTCGAAACGATTCCGAAACAATTACAAAACAATTACAAAATAAATTGAAAAATTCGTTTCGATTTTTAGTTGCTCCTGCATGGCTCAATATCGGATCGTAAGCTAATTTTAAATACGAATCAATAACGAATTACGAAATTAACGAACGAAACCGCCCAGCCCTACTAGTAATATAATATAGTAATATAATGGAAGGCTAGTACTTGTGGTGACTGGGGAGTAGTGTCCTCTCTCCCGGCCGGAGTGGCTGACCCTTTCCCTCCTTCCTTCCTCCCTCCGTCCAGCGCGTCGGTGCCCGTCCGCAGCGTCAGCTCCGTCAACCTGGCCGAGAGGAGCGCGGTCGTCCTTCCGCCGGCAGATTACTTGTCCGCCGGCGGGCACGCCAAGGCCGCCTCGGAAGGAAGAGTGGACGCCACGGCGGCCAAGAACAAGGCCCTGATGAAAAGCCCGCTGGCCAAAGCGGAAGACGCGGCCGCCATCCACGTGAGTCCCCAACGTCCCTTCCGGGCCTTGCATTGCACCCGCCTTGCTTTTGTACATTTATTTGCACACTCACCATTGGCATTGGGCATCCGCATTGGCATTCGGAATTAGCTTGGGAAAAATAGCCCTGGAAAAGGTTGCCTTTAAGAAGGTTTGAATATTTGTATTGCATTAAATATTTAATACAAATATTAAATGTTTGCATTGTATTAAATTAAATTAAATTAAATCTTTAATACAAACATTTAATAGAAATTAAAGGTTTGTATTAAATGTAATGCAAATATTTAATACAGACTAAATATCTGGATTGAATTAAATATCTTTGTATAATATTTGTGTGTTTCAAATTGTATTGCCATGCTTTGTAAGGTAACCCGCACTGAGTCTCCTTGTTGGAGAAAAAGCAGGGTGCAAATAAACGTAATAATAATAATAATAATAATAATAATAATAATAATAATTTAATAATATATAATAACTAGCTGTCCCCTGCCACGCATTGCTGTGGCCCAGTCTGTTGATCTGGAAAATGGTGTTGGATGTCTTAAGTATTTTCTGATGGTCATGCATAGGGGTTCTGTGTGGGAAGTTTGCCCTGATTCTGTCGTTGGTGGGGTTCAGAATGCTCTTCGATTGTAGGTGAACTATAAATCCCAGTGATTACAACTTGCAAATGTCAAGGTCTATTTCCCCCAAACTCCACCTGTGTTCATATTTGGGCGTATTGAGTCCTTGTGCTAAGTTTGGTCCAGATCCATCATTGTTTGAGTCCTCAGTGCTCTCTGGATGTTGGTGAACTACAACTCCCAA